GCTATATAAATAAAATTTTACTTACTTACTTACTTACTTACTAAGATAGAAAGCAAATGATGACCATTATTGATAAAAGTATTGTTTTGTGTCTTGTTTTTCAACAGGTGGTGTCGTTTGTTCTGCACACGGTTGTGAGAGGATTTATTCATTCCTGCTGTGGAAGTCTTTATGCTGCTGTGTGAGTGAGAACAAAATGGCTTTAAAACCTAAAGACTTACTACTCATTAATTTAAACTGGTCAGAACACCCATTCAAGAGACACACATGACAAACGTGGGGGAGCAGGTGATATATATATATATATATAGACAAATTTACAGTAAATTACAGTATAATATAAGTATGTGTCCTCTATAGCAGGAAGTGGTGCTGGGCGGCTTTCACCACCCTCTGCAGGACAAGTATAGACACAAGTTCACTGACTGACTGAACATATATGGACACAAGTTTATTGTCTGAAAGGACAGGTGAAGACACATGTCTTCACCCTGACAGGACAAATATGGAAACAAGTCCATGATTTAATAGGATAAGTATGGTCACATCTTCCCTCTAACAGGACAGGTATGGACAACAGTTTATTGTCTGAAAGGATACAGAAGGACACAGGTCTGCTTCAAGGTTGAATAACTTTTACATAAAAGGTCACAGCTGCATGATCATTTCTGTGTGTCATACCAGTTCAGCACTCATCCCACCCACATGGTTATTTGGTGACTTCACCTTAGTCCCGCCCCCTTAAAACAGGAAGTGACTTATTTAACTGTTGGATGTCTTCCTTTTACACTGTAACTCATACAGATTTCTACCAATGTCTGGTGACACAACAAGTTGATGGTGTTTACTTATCTCAACACTGACTGTTGGCTAGATAGAGTGGGTGTGACCAAGTGGCGAATGTTGATTTCTCGCCGTTTTCATAAGTCTTCCTCTAAATCACACGTGCATGATCCAATTTGCTCCAAACTAGAAATCTATGACCTTTGTTAACCTCTGAATAGGCCTAAGGGATTACYTTGGAATTTGTCTCAACAGCACCCCAGAATAGATCAACAATTATAATGCAACGATACATCATCCACTCTGCCCCAGATTATGTGTCATCAGTGACCACTGCTAGTGAGGGGTTTTGACTGTCCTAGGCCCCTGTTACCAGGTCATTGGTGGGGTTTTTTAGGTTTTTGAAGGGTTTTTAGCCCTTTTCACCAAGGTTTTGGTGTTTTTGTAGGTTTTGAGGGGTCTTTGGCCCTCCTCAGCCCCTTTGACCTTGCTTTTGGTGGTTGTTGGAGGTTTTGAAGGGTTTTCAGCCCTCCTAGGCCCATTTTCACCAAGGTTTTGGTGTTTTTGTAGGTTTTGAGGGGTCTTTGGCCCTCCTCAGCCCCTTTGACCTGGTTTTTGGTGGTTGTTGGAGGTTTTGAAGGGTTTTCAGCCCTCCTAGGCCCATTTTCACCTGGTTTGGGGTTCTTTGACCTTCCCATGTCCCCTTTACCTGTTCTTGTTGTTGTTTTTGGAGGTTCTGGTGGGTTTTCGGCCCTCCAACACCCTTTTCACTTGTTTTTGGTGGGTTTGGTGGGACAGCACTAAAACWTGTGGATCTGAGACACACCTCAGGACAGGGTTGAAATACAGGCTTGTAGAGCTACAAGAACCAGGAATGCAGACCAATGCATTGTTTCCACTTTATACTGTATAAAGCCCAACTGAAGGATTTAAAAGTGAAAAATAAAGATTTTAAAGCATCATATGTCTACTTTAAGCGTGTTAGAGGTACTTAGAGTTTGGTTGAATCATAATCATGCACCCAAACTGAAGTTAGACCATTAGCAGATTTTTTTTTATTTACAACCACTGAGAAACTGATGACTTATCACTTCATTATGCCTCTTTAGACTTTAATTTTYGACTTTGATTTTAGTTAGGGATGGTAAAAGACCTTCTCCTTCATACTTTCTATTCTTCCATTCCACTCTAGGTATCCTGCCAACCACTTTGGCACCCTAACGGGTCTGCAGTCAACAATCAGTGCTGCGTTTGCTTTACTCCAACAGCCTCTGTTCATACTGATGGTGGGACAKCTCAATGGAGACCCTTACTGGGTAAGGAGCACACACACAGCTTGTCAAAAAGATTTAAGGTTTCTGCTGGGGAAGCACAATGTTATAGGCATGTCAAATGCACAAATAAATACTTTAAAGACATGAGTAAAACATTCAGGATGTGTTGTAAAGGGAAGACTGGGAAATCATTYTCCACACTGGTTACAGAGGAGTAAAGTCCAGTTTTGCTTGAAATATTGTATAAAAGAGCAAATTTGTGTTTTTAAATGCAATAAATTTCCAAAGTGACTCAAATTTTGTGTCATCACTTCAATTTATTTAGCAGATGCTTGATGGTCATACATCTGTACTAACTTAAACTTTTAAGATTTAGTTAGAAAAGTGAATTTTATTTCATCACAAACTACAAAATGTATCCTCAGTTTATGAAGTGTTGTAAAGCAGCCTCGTACTGTGAACTAACATGTGTCTTCTTCTCACAGATCAATGTGGGCCTTCTCATCTTCTCCCTGACTGGCTTCCTGTTGCCGGTTTATCTCTTCTACCACCGTAGAATCTTAACCAGGGGAAAGGCCCAGCAAGACCAAACACACCAAACTGAAAGAGCTGATAATGCTCTAACTAATGGAAATACTGTTTAAGTAGATGTTTTGAAGGAAAAAAAATCATTTAAATGTTGTCATTATGTTGATGTGTTCAGTAGAACAATCCAAAAATGAACTATATTACAGACAAGGCGTTTTCTGGACTAAGTGTTAAATAGACTTTTCTCCATCGCCTGTTGTAATAACGTTAACAGAAAATGTTCAGAGTAATCTTTTGTCCCCCCCCCCATCTTCTCATTGGTGGGAAGTAGTTTGGATAACCTGTTCATTACGAACCACAGAACAGGATGATATGACCATGATGACCAGGGTTAGTTGAAATATTTTTGCTATGTAAAATTTGTTGTATTTGAAATATTTTCCCCCACAAACTCTACAGCAGGGCTATTCAGCTAAATTGCTCCGGGGGCCACAGTTACTGCAGGTCAACAGCTGAGGGGCCGAACATCCTGCAATTAAATTTATTATGTAAATAAACCAAGTATTACAAAGATCTGTTAGCTTTGAATTAGTTTATTTTGCTGCATTTAATCATGAATACAACATACAGAAACCTATAAAAGTAGTGATAATTAAACATGATCAAAAACAAAAATAACACATTATGCCTCCTGTTTGACACAAGTAATATTTTGACATCTCTGACTTAACAAAATTATAAACCAATTTTATTTTCACTTTCATCATTTTATCTTCAACTGCTTGTAGTTTTAACTGTCTTGAGTGTTTACAGAAATGGTTTTTACCATCTTCTAGCCAAGATTCTGACGTTTCTGTAGATACCAAACATGTCTAAGTTGAACTAAAAGAAAATGGGTGTTTGGGCTTAAGAGAAGAGTGYATCAATTGGCYGGCCCAACTTTGGTCACTRGCGGGCCGGYTGTGGCCTYCGGGCCACCAGTTGAATAGCCCTGGTCWAAATGATCTGAGGACCAAAAGGGACACCTAGTGGTGTAAAAGTCAAACTAAAACATTTGTACACTCTTTACTAAACAATATAAGAAAAAAATAGCCCCAGTTGTTACAAATTAAAATGTGACGCAACCCTTGAAATATGTAACAACTTGTAAAAACACAAAATATGAACTACATACATTTATTTATAAGATAAAGCTTTTATAAAAGCTCTTCTTTTGATTTACAACAAATGAGAATCTGAAAGTAAAATCTGCTGTAATTTCYTTAAATAAAATCCAAAATGATGCTAAGAACATTTTGAAAATCCCATTTCTTTTTAACTTCATGTGTTTTTTGTTCAGTGTGGCACTTTAGTTTCCACTTTACTGTTATTTRTCATCTATGCTACCTAACAAGAGTTCCTGCGCTGAATCTTTGTAGTGTTTGAGGAGACGCTCATTGGATGAGAAAAAGGTTTATCCTTTTCTGGGAAAGAAGTATTTGTTGGTTGATCTTCAGCCGTCAGAGGACGTTCATAACATTTCTCCATTAAAGCTGCTGAGGAACAAACATTGCTGCCGATCCCAGAGGAGGTCTCAGATGGTTTAACTTTGTTCATCAACCAATCAGAGACGAGGAAATGAGCTCGTRGGTTCCTGAACTCTGAAARGCTCCCATATTCTGAGGCAACATCTCCACTCACTGAAACAGAAGAYGAGAGTCATTAGAACAATGTTTAACAGAACATGAGTAAACTCAGAGATTTATTACATATCTGAATAAACGTACTGTCAGGATGGAGAAAATTATCCTTGCTTTGTGCYATCCTCACAGAGGGAACAGTTTGTTTCTCTGGTTCCTTTTCTAAAGCTTTCATCATTCTCTCTATCAGCTGCTGCTCCCTCCTGTCCCATTCKTCTTCTGTCAGMGMTTTTTGCCAAAGAAATTTCTGAAATGTTGTCTGTTGATCWTTAGTTGTGAAGCATTCCYTGTTTCTTGTTACCAGMTCAATAATTTTCTGGAACAGCTCTTTGGTTGGATCAGGATCTCCAAAGTTATAGTTGTTGAGAACATGGTATCTGTTGTCACACTTTTCTAAAAGCTCCTGGATGTATCTTCCCTCTTTGGTGATGTAATCCTCAACAGGTCGTTCACTGAGCCAGTTTCCATAAGTAAAKAGCACCATGCAGTGTCTCCACACTCTCTCTGCAAACGGCATCAAGACCTCGAGCAGATCTTTGAGATCTTTCTCAGTAAATGATCTGAGGACTGGAACAACCAGGAGAAAAACATGAGGCCCAGGAGCACACATGGAGACACTGTGGGAAACTTCAGCTTTGATCCAGTCAGGTGGTGTGGAGTCTCTGAACCAGCCTGGTGTTTCTACAACCGTCACTTTGACTTCATCAAAGCTTCCTTCATGTTTCACACAGGTTGTAGTTCTTCTCTGATCCTGYTCGTCCTACAAAGATACAAAACAGAAACWCTGACATGAAGGTTACTGACATACGGAGCCCGCGAGGAYACACGGGAGATTATTTTTCCCTTTTGCGTTACCTCGCAGTGCGTTCCCTCGCAAAAGTCGTTAAACACTGTTGAGCCTGCCAGTTTATTAACAAACTCACATGTTTAC